TGATAGGGACGACAGGAGGGCACCGGGCTTGGGATCTGGCCAGCACCCAAAGAGAGGCAGAGGTGAATCCAACTCCAGGATCCGACGCATCCTGACTGAGGCCCGAACCTGGACAAGTGGATTCACTTCTCGGAGCCTCGGTCTCCCTGCCGGGGAGATGCACCCGGGAGGTGTGGCCGTCGGGGTTCTCAAGAGAAACCCAACCAAGAGAACACGCACAGCCGGAGGGACCGGCTCTCTCTGTCAGGGAAGCTGAGAAGTCCTGCATCTGCCACCTACAAGCTGGTGGCCCAGCAAAGCCCCTGGTGTCCCCTCTGATCCAAGGCCAAGGACCAAGAACCAGGGGAACCAGTGGTGTGAGGGCCAGAGAAGGGGGCAGAGGCGCCCAGCTGCAGCAGCAGGCAGGAGGACAGGGCCAGCCTGTCCTTTCTCTGTGTTAGTTCTGATCTCCCTCAGGGACTGGGTGACATCCACTGATTCTTGGGACAGCCGTCTGCTCCACGTCCACAGATCCAAATGCTGGGCTTCTCAGAACCACCCTACACCCCCACCATGGTAAGTTTTCGTGTGGCCACCCGTGGCCAGTCGAGTGCACCGTAAAAGTCCCTTGACAGCCCGGAGCCTGGCTCTGCCGTGGAGGTGAGGTGGGGGGGGGGAGCGGCCACGGCCGTGACGCGGGTCAAGGGATTTGTCCTGGGGTTGGTCATGCGGCCAGACCCAAGCACCGAAGCTGTCGGGTTTGTGTTTCTTACTCCAACAAGATTAATTCAAATTAAAAAAAAAAAAAAAGTAAAGAACGACCTGTGGAAAGCGAGGAGATGGTGGAAGAGCATTGTCCTGAAGACCCAGAACCCTCTCTCTCCCCTCCCCGCCGCCCTTAGACCTGCCCAGCCAGGGGCCACCGTGGGACCTGATGGTCACAGGGCAGGAGAGGAGCTGGCTGGTGTCCTGGAGGTGGCCTGTGTGCCCTCACGGCTGGACCATGCTGGTGGCCTCTCTTCCTGCTGGCCTCTGCTCTGAACACCACAGGGCCTGCAGATTCAGCCTCCTCCTCCCTGAGCTGCCCACCATCCCCTGGCCTCCCTGCATGATGGGCTGTCCCCAGGGCAGCCATTGACCCCCGTCCAAGGCCTCAAACCAGGGTCAGGAGATGGTGAGTCTCGTCCGGGTCAGGGCCCCCCGCAGGCTGGCTGTGCCCCACATGCAGCCAGTTCAGAGGCACGGCCAGTTTTGTTTAGTCTTTCCCCACAGAGAAGCCAGACATTCTGCAAGCCCTGGAGCCAGCCCTGGGGACTGGAGCATAAGGTCTCCAAACAGCCCCCAGCTTCCCCTCTGCAGCCAAGTCTGAGTTTCCTCCCATCCAGAGTGGAGAAGCATGACCTTGGCCTGACCTCTGAGGGTCCTTCTCCACCCCAGGAATGTGGTGGCTTCTCGGCTTTGAAGGGCTGCCTATCTGTCCCAGGAGCTTGCTCAGCTGCCATTGCATTCAGCCAAGTCACACGGGGTCTGGTGGCCCAGGGGAGCGCTTCAGTGCTGGAGAGGCTGGGACCCGGAGATGGGCTTGGGAGGGCTGAGGACCATCTCCGCCAAGCGCCCAAGTCACGGGAGGTGCCCCAGGAGCTTGGTTCATTCATAAACCACGTGCCTGCCAGGCTCTGGGGGACAGAAGTGGCCAGCCTGCTGGGGCCCCTGGCGGGGGCTGGTGAGCTCCCAAGGCCGGGTCCTGTGGCAGAGCGGGAGTTGACTGCAAAGGCAGAGGACAGCTGTGGCTATTAAGACAGTGAGTGATGACCAATAAGCTCAAACACGAAGGGAAGGGGGGCCTTGCCCTGGCCAGCAGGGGCAAGCTGAGGGGCAGAAGGTGACCCAGACAGCTCCATTCCCAGCTCAGAGAGGTGAGAGGGAGCGCCCCCGTCCAGCCCCCCTCCTCAGGGTCCCCCTTACAGGGCTCCTTGACTTTCACTGCTGCCTGGTGGGCTGCTATTTCTCAGCTGCCCTGAGCTGGGGCAGCTCCCGCCCTCTGGCTCCCACAGCCCTGTGCCGGGGCATCCTTTGCACTTCCAGGGAGACTTTAAGAAAAGCCGAGTCTCAGACCCCTCCCCGCCCTCCTCTGTGAGCGTCTGTGTCTTCCCAAGAGTCCCAGGGGAGCGGGGGCCGGGCAGGCAGGGAAAGGGGTCCTCAGCCCTCCTCTGCTCAGTGGGTCAGGG